CTCAAAGTAGTCATTCATAATCGACATTGTAGTATGTTCTTCTTTATCCTGGACTACTTCGGCAGTCAACAAGTTTGTTGCTCCATCATAGAGAATAAGAAATACTAAGCGACTATCCTTGCCGGGAATTGGAAGCTCACCGTGATCTACGAAGGTGAGATCACCGAAAGTCTCTGATCTTAAACCAGAAATCTTCGCTCTCGAAGGAGCTCTCACATGTTCCTGGCAGGCTGAACACTTTTTGACCAGTTGGTCATATAGCTCGTATATCTCCTTTGGGATCTGTAAGGCTTTTGTGCGTCGCTTGAACTGATCCGTACTCATATGACGGTGTTTGAGGTGAAGCTTATAGAGTTCTACAGGGTCCTTAAGCTTCTCATGAATCCTGCGAAGAGCAATGGGAAGAGATGGCGATGGTTCCGCGACAATCTCTTCACCTGTAGGTGAGTCTGTACCAGGAGCCGGGTATTCTCTTGACTCAAGTGGTCTTACCTCCGTCCCTTCATCAGCTCCTGGGACCTTAGACTTCTCTTCAACAGGAGATTTAACCGCATATTTGCGGGATTTCTTCAGAAGGTTTTTAAGACCCTTTGGAGTCTTTATCTTCGCAGGTGGAACCTCAAGTCTTTCTTCTTCTGGAGGTTCATGTGATGCAGAGGATTCTGCAGGTTTGTCCCTAGAGCCTGATGATGGTTCCGATGGTCCGGAAGGCTCAGGAACATCACCAGATGTTCTGGTGGATCAAGTTTCTTGGCAGATGATTCTGCCGGATCAGATGGAAGAGGCTTCTTTTTGCCTGAAATCCTCTTCGGTGGTGGATCAGCTGCTCCCTCAGGTGCTTTGTCGCAGCCCTTGAGGTACGTGTGAGCCTTTTTCTGTCCGGCACAGGCTGGACAGCGACCTTCCGGTATCCTAACATAAGGCTTATTGGCTCCTAGAGCAGTCTCCGTCGCACTGAACGACGTACCTGACTTAGGGAGGTACTTCCTGGTGGAAGTAAAGCCTAGAAGGTCCAATACCAAATGGTTATTGGTACTAATCGGAAGAGGGGTTTTATACAAACCGAAAGCTTCACACGTTGCTAGGTCAGCTGTTGGACTACACTCGAGAGTCATTCTTAAATTCCTCATCTGTTCGATGGAAAACAAAATGGGGACTCTTCCCTGATCCAAAACTTCTATGGTTGTATCTCTTCTTGGAGTTGTGTTAAACCATAGAGTTACACGCTCCTTGATAAGAGCTGTTTCACTATCTGCGAAAGAGAACTTCGTGTTCGAAGGTGAAAAAGTGAAATCAATCATGCCTGGGGCATGTTGCTTCACGGCCTTGATAAGCCTGTTCACCGCATAGCGGGAACCCATAGCCCTAGTACAACCAGAGTCAAGTATGACAAAGGTAGGGCTCTTATCAAGATTGATCCGCTCTGTGAGAGCAGATAGGACGGTGTGCTGCAACGGAAACACTGCTGTTGCAGTCTCCACACCTTGCCCCTCGGATGGTTCAGAGACCTGGGGCACGTAACTCACTGATGAGTTGTACACGGGTTCTTGGTGCGCGCTCGGATCTGTGCCTCTACCTGATGATCCTGCTTGATTTCTTCTCTTCTTTCTCCGTGTCTTTCTTCGTGAGGCTTGTGATGCATAGTATGTATAAGACGTTTGATCGTCATAAGCGGCATAATTCCAACTGGAGTCAGTATAATAACTGTCCTCATACCATGAATCCCAGCTCGGTGCGGTGGAACTTTCATAGGCCTGTGGAGATCCAGTTTGGTCTCCTTGTAAGGAGGCAGACTTAGCTGTATCCTTACCTTTGCCTTTTGCCTTTGCCCTTGAAGGAGCTTCCTTTATCTCCTTTGTCCTTTCCTTTTCCTTTGCCTTTTCCACCTTTTCCTTTTTCCTTTCCTTTACCTTTACCGAAATAGCTGGAATCAGTTGGATCATGTTCTGCCTGGTTGGCTCTCCCTTTTCCGCGGTATGACCTAAAACGGCCACGTCCTTTTCGCTTGCCACCCTTTGCTCTTCCCGGTGATCCGGGACGCATTCTTGGTCTTCTTCCCTTTTTGAATCTCCTTGCAACGAAGGCCTCATGGTCATCAACTGTCCAGAAGACAGCTTCTTCATCCTCGGCGGCAAGAAAGCCTTCCTCAAGGGTGTCTTCGTCTTGGAGCCAGAATCCATCGACTCCGTCGTATTCACCCTGATCGAGGATGAGGAAGTTTCGACCTCCGCGTTTGCGGCGTTGATCTCTCCTTCCATGGCGGTCCTTCTTGTGAGAAGAGTGCCGAATGTTGGGATCCTGCAGACCAGTTCTGGTCGTTGAGAACTGATCGAACATGGTCTGCCGTACCACAGGGTACGTGTAGGTCTCAATTCGGTAACCTTGGTTGGTCAATGCTGTTACCAACCTCTCACGTTGCATCTCATTTAGGTCGGACTGCACTAGGAAGAGGAGAGCTAGGAGATTATCATTTAGAGGAAACGCTCTTCGATGATTATCAAGGCGTTCCTTGTTCCATGTTTCGAAGAAACGTGCGGCGTATGTGTCTCTCTCGGTTGCATCCTGTAGGCGCAAGAAGGTTTGATCTGCCTGCACAGCCTGCATGAAATCCGGATGGGCATCTTCCAGAGCTATCTCTGGTAAGAGATCCATCCATGAGTTTCTCACGCGCTGTAGCACGATCTCAAACTTAGCAATCCAAGTCACAAAGTCTTGGTTGCCCTTCCATGCCTTGAATAGGCCGAGGAAACGCCACAGGAAAACGTACTGTTCTCCTTTCACGAAAAATGGACGCATCTTCTTCTTGAAGTAATCTACTCCATCTGGGGCTGCAAGCCTTTCTCGGTTGAGTGATTCTTTTTGTACTGCGGCCAATCCGGAGAGCCTCGTCTTGAGAGACGGACCTCTTTTGGTGTCATCCAGCGTTGTTATGTCGCACCAGTCGTCAATCAACTGTTCATACTCAAACCACGAAGTGGTGCCATCATAGGCAGGCGCGATCTTGGGCGTTATGCCTAATGATGCAAGCATGCGGTCAGATGTTGCATATGACTGTGCGACATAAGTAGCTGGACCTTGGGAGGTCTCTTCGTTCTCATATCCCCCGGAGGATTGGGAACTGCCGTCGGCTTCGCTATGCGAGCTCGACATTGTGCTGCCTCTTATCCGCTTGGTTAAGCGTTCGGCGAGGCCGACCGCTGTAGCGGACTTTGTGAGGCGGGCGGCCCTTTCCGGGCTCCGCTACCAGAAAACTGTGCCGATACACCCCCAAGGGATACTCCTTGTGAGGAGGTGTATGACCAGTTATTCCCTAAGGATCAAAGGGCAGCGCCCTGCACACGGACAGTAGTTGTTTTGTCTTGCTACGCAAGGAGAGCTTGTCTTGTCTCAATATGGTAAAACCACTGTGAGCCAATGGGCAGCGGAATGTATATGTATGAGCATGCAGCCATTGCTGTAGGTACCTGTTAGAGCTACCCCTTTAGAGGTTTATGGTTTCACCCCCCCCTCCCTCCCCCTGTGCCCGTTTTCCTCTGGCACTTCGTATCAACAACTGTGTAAAGCTTGGGGTTTGACAGGCCGCCCTAGCATAAAAGAACATCGACTGCCCCCTCGCCCTGCCGCTACACAGCCGAGGCGGGCGGCGTAGCGTTAAAATTATTCAACTGTTACTGAGTGTGGGCAGTACCCAACCTAAACCCTGAACCCCAAAACCCCTAAACCCTAAACCCCAAAGATCCCTTATGGATCCCTTTAAAGGAACCCCTATAGATCCCTGTAAGGACCTACCGGGTATCCAAAGCCCCACGAGATGGAAGTTGGACGAGGGTTGCCCTGGTACTTGGAGGTTCATGGGTACTCATAAGGGTCCCCTTAAAGGGATCTATAGGGATTCTATAGGGGTTTAGGGTTTAGGGCCTACTGGGAGGTTCATGGGTAGTTCTGAGTAGGGTTAAAAGAGGGGTAACTTTTACTTGTAACCCATATTAGGGGACTTATAACCCCACTTATACCTACCCCTGAACCTGCAAGTAGCCCCATCTTCGCTGTTTGGCCAACGGTGACCCATTTTGGTGTCCAGAAAGGGCTTTTGTGCCGGGCTTTGTAGCATGGTTCATACGGGCTCCGGGGCTAAGGGTGGTGAGAAAAGCCGTTCTTGTCATAAAATGCTTACAGATTCGGCTCCCTACACTAGGTTTCTCCTTCAAAGCCTCTGAAAAGTATTCGTGGATAAGGTTCTCGTAAGCCAAGTAAGAGAAAACATGGAAATGTGGTAGAAGCCGGCAAGTTGGAACATGACTATCCTCATGCTCTCAAGGTGAAGGGAAGAAGACTCCTTCACTCATGGGGACCCTCAGGGGGGTAGGGGGGGGCGGGGTAGGGGACTATACTTGCTAAGCCTTATTCAATCCTGAAATTAGGTATCAAGGCCCCCTACCCCCCCAAGGGTCCTTATGACTAACCCATGTTCCAACTTCTTGGGGTTCACTAAAATCCGGACCTATAGAGAAAGCTTATTTTGATCGAGGGCCTAGGTTACAGCTCAGGCTCGAGGCTTTTCGGCTCTGCTTTCGGCTTGGGGTTTAGGGACCGGGGTTCAGCCGTGAAAGTTTTGCCAGGGGTTTTAGGGTTTAGGGCTTAGGCCTTAGGATTTAGGGTGTGTCCCGAGTTCAAGGCTCGAGAGGTTGGGATTTTGGGGCTAAGTACTTACAACCACAAGCAATACGGTGTGAGCAGTAACGGTGCTTTCATGCCGACAGCACATGTAGCATCTATATCCGTCATGCTTCGACCTAAATGACACATGCTAGGCACACAATATGAATAGTTACAGCTCTCCCGCCTCAAATGAGCTCATGTAGACGGCTCCTGCCTTCCGAAAATTTGGGGTCCACTTCTTGCGGATCCTCTGCTATTTAGGATCTACAGCATTCCCGTCTGATTTCGGAAGTTCCCCTACACCCCAAACCCTAGATCGGATCTCGGAAATTCCCAGTGGCATCTGCGCGAAAAGCCGCTGCGCCGCCGTGTTGGCGGCAGCGAGGACACCCCGCCCGGCTTGCGCGAAGGAGAGCGCCGTAGGGGCAGGGCAGTGCCTGGGTTTCCAGTTGAGAGTTCGGCTTTTGGGAGCGTTGGTTTAGGGTTTAGGGTTTAGGGTTTAGGGTTTAGGGGTTTAGGGTTTAGGGTTTAGGGGTTTAGGGTTTAGGGTTTAGGGGCTGTTTCGGGATCTGGAGATTCGTTGGTGGCTACAGACTTGGTGCTAATATAATATCATTTCGTATCATATCACAGAGTATCATGCACTATGATACGATACAAACCACTATGATATGGGAAAGCAAAATATTATACAACATGTTATAACTAATAACACACTACAACAGAGTTAACAGAGTAGAGTATGACATAAAATGTACTGTGACATGATATGCTATAAACAAATAAAAGAAAATCTAATTTAAGTACCAGTCTTGTTCAACTGTTACTGAGTGGGGGCAGCATCTAACCTGCATCTGTGCTAAACTATGGTCTGCGGAATTAACAACAGCATTCTCCCGATGGCCGCCTATATACTTACAATCACGTGAAAATAGAAAATACCCTCCAAATCCAAGGGTCGGCTACAGCTATATATGAACATGCATTGTATATGGAGCCGGAGCTACCTTAAACCCAAAAACCCTAAACCCTAAACTCCGAACCCTGAACCCTTGGCGAAGAGTTTCATGAGTGTTGACGGTACTTTGTAGGCTTCAGGGCTAGGGAAATCCGGCCTTTAGTAACAGCTGCTACAAGGGAACACTGTCGCTATACTATGGGCCTGATACTAGACACTAAACCCTAAACCCTAAACCCAAATACTAGAGTTACTGGAGACTTGCCAAGTGACTGCGTTCTCGATGACCCTTTAAAGATAAGATCACCCTCTTTCCTGAAATTCAATCCCAGTAAAGAAACCCAAACATAAATGATCAAGGGCGTAATTTTGGGATACATTATACCATAATTACAATCCGGAGCCCCCAAAATAGTACTGGCAATTGTGTCGTTCCCTTTGTTAAGCTCCAGGCTCAAGAAGCTTTAGGGCTCTAGGGCCCAGGGTTGGACTTGTGGCCTTTGGGGCTGAGGAGGTAAAGCGGAGGTGCTGGGCTAGAATAGAGTTTTGAGGTATATTGCAGTATCTTTGTAAGGAGGACCCCCACGGACTAGTTTTTCGAATTATTCCGACCCCTAATTTTGCCTAAACCCTAAAACCCTAAGCCCTTTTAGAACCCTTATGGAGAGGATCCCTGTAAAAGCAACCCCTTGAGAGCGAAGCCAAGGCCGTCGAGGGGCACCACAATTCGCGACAACAGATCTTCGGGGAGGTCCTCCAATGCTGCGTCCGGGTCCATGGCGGCCACGAAGGTTGCAAGCGCATGAGCTTCAGCAGTTTCTGGTTTTGGGGGTGCTTGCGGCGAGCAGAGATGCTTCGCAGTCGAAGCTCTAGAGGTTTGTGAAGGGAGTATTGGAGCTGAGGGTTCAGGACCGCAGGAACCCCAAACCATCAACCATGTCTTACGGCTTCGACGCTGCAGACGGTTTTGGGTACAGGGCTGCCACTCTTGCACAACGGTAGCAGAACAAAGTTGGTGGTCACAATCACAACTCCCTAGCGGCCCTAGCACCAAGCAAATTCCGAATTCTTGGGCCGATGTGGGCAGCGGCGGCAGAATATCAAAATCGACGTCGAGTTCATGGCTGTGTTTGGCAGCGCATTGTTCATCGATCATATCCAAACATAGCGAAAATGACTCATGAAAAAACCCACCTGGTGTTGAAAATGACCTCGCTAGTCTAGGGCCATATGGGAGTTTCCGCAGATTACGGGTAACCTTATTTTGGGGGGTCCTTATCATAAGGATCCTACTATTTATAGGGTACATTAGGGTCCCCTGTTTTCGGAAGCTCCCGTATGAAGACTCGCGATCTGATGTAGATGATAAGAAGCTCGTGTCTCGCCATTTTGGGGTTTAAGTTTAGGGTTTACTTGGAGGGTCGGCGGACTTAGTAACTGGTTATTTTAGGGACTTATAAGTACCATAACCCCGATTAGGGTCCCTTTTAGGGTACTTATAAGTCTACTTAAAACCTAGGGGACATTGAAAGCCGGAGAGGAGCCCGTAAAGGGCTGTGGAGAAGAATGCCTAGAGCTCTTAGAAAAGCCCTCAGCCCTAAACATGTCGGCCAAAATCCTTAATTCGTATAGAATCCTCATTTAGTCGGAAGAGGAACGCGAAATTGGGAATTTTAAGAAGAAGCCTAGAGCCCCAAACCCGGAAACCGCTGGACCCTAAACCCGAAATCCTCAACCTGCATTAGTAACCCTCAATCCAAACCCTGAACCCTCAACCCTAAACCCTAAACCCTAAATTACTACATTCTGAGTCCTAACTCTGATCCCTAAAACCCTAAACCCGAAAGCCCCGAAGCCCCAGCCGAAGAGTTTTTCGTCGTCCCGAAAACCACCCTAAACCGTTTGAAGTTTGGGGTTTCCGGTTTGTAGATTATGGGCTTTACAGGCTGCAAACGGGGTTTTGGTGCAGTCGTGATTTAATCCGAACCCCTAAACCCCTTCAATTAGGCAATCTAGATAATTGGGGTTGGGTGTCTAAGGAGATGCTTCTACAAACTACCCGGACCTCTCCGATGGCCCCAGCCAGTATGTTGAAAGACCCCCCCTCCCTGACCGCCGAAAGGCCCCAGGTCGATTGGAGGGTTTTTCCAAATCGGATTAGCGCTGATAGGTTTTGAGGAATAAGAGTAGGCTCCTAAATATGAGGTTGTTGAATTTTGAAGGGCTCTAGATACGAAGGGTACCCCTCAATGACAGCAGGATCCCTAATCTGCTTAAGGTTACTGGTGTGGCCATAAAGGGTGATGGTTGAAGAAGCTCATGGGTTAGGAACAGCTAAGAGGTATGTCTACACTACAGAGGAATACTCAACATGATTTAAGACACATGCATTTTGCTTGCTTAGAAAACCCTAAACCCTAAACTCTAAACCGGGCCTAGAGGGCATCGGTATTGGGCCATCTGGCTACAGAAAGAACTCACAGCTTATCTTCGGATCTTTTGGGCTTCAACTGGGTCTGGGGTCTAACCTGAAGAGCGCAGCCAAAAACAGGTACTTGGAGGGTCGGGGGACTTAGTAAGTAGGTAGTAGGTAGACTTATAAGTACCCTAAAAGGGACCTTAATTGGGGTTATGGTACTTATAAGTCCCCAAACTAACCAGTTACTAAGTCCCCCGACCCTCCAAGTATCCTACCACCGGCATATGGATTTCGACAAGGCCTGTGACAAGGTCCTGCGCAACCCTTGATGCGCAAACGTCACAAAATCCCCGTAGAACCTCGAACCTAAACCCTAAATCCTAAACCCAAAACCCCAAATCCTAAGCCCTAGACCCTAAACCCTAAACCCTAGGTCCAAAAATGTAAACCCTAAACCCTAAATCCAAAACCGTAAACCCCAAACCCCAAAACTGACTCACTCGGCCTGACCCTTCCTCCAGGCGAGGTTGGCGATGCCATGGCCGCGCGAGCATCCGAAACCCGTCTCTTCTGCGAAACCATAGTAGTAATGGTAATAATAATTGTTACTACTATTGTAATCAACACTAACACTAGTAATAAACAGAATAGTAATGGTAATTGTCGTAACTTACAATACCAATAGTAAAAAAACAGTAGGAATGAAAAGGAATCCCCTAAACCCTAAACCCTCGACCATGCAGGCGACTGGACGTTCACGTGAGGCCTCTACTTCCTCAACCCTAAGCCCAAAGACCTAAACCAATACACCCTCAGCCCTAGGCCCTGAAACTGTATGACGGAGCTGAGGGATCGGGTTCCCCAGGCAGAAGTGGAAACGCTGCACGGCTGCTTCGTCTTTGACACCCAACTACAGGGTAGTTGGGGTTTAGGGGTTTGGAGTTTAGGGCCGAAAGTAGAGGGATTCAATTGGATGGGTTTCACCTTGCTTTCTCTTGGTTGAAAACTTATCCCCCGGTGCCCCAAACCCTTTACCGTTTGGAGCGGGGGATTAGCAAGTCGTGGGTTAAGCGCGAAAAGTGGAGGGCGTTAGGCTTACATGTAGGTGTATATCTGCCTGCTCTCTAGCGTCTTTAAAGGCCTTGGCCGTGGGCCGCCGGGAAACAGAGCGGACCGAATGGAATGCTGACTAGGTAGACGAAGTCGGATGGTTGTGTGTTGTCACAGAAGGGAACCGTTTTGCTGGTGATTATGAACGATTATGGTTGGAACTTATGGGTACGGTCACTATCATCACAAATATAGAACTGCTGTTGATTTTCAACATTATGGTTACCATGAACATTTAAAGCTGGGCTTGGTGCTCTTGTAAGGTATTATTCTCATTGTTAGTGTTATGTCACTAGCATTTTTTGTGTCATCAGCATTATGGTTTCCATTATTCCGAATGCTAGTATTAGTGGTCTTATTATTCTGAATGGCATTACTACTAGTATTGCTAATATGGTTGTTGATCTCATTTTAGTATTTGTTATTCGTACTCAAAACATACCGTCATGCAGGAACCCTCCGAACAAGTCTGAAAATTCTGAAATCACGCAATCCCAGCCGAAACTGTGCCAGCATCCCCCAGTACGAGTCCTGATCCTAGTACTTACATAAACTACTGGCAACTAGCGCAAACAAGCACAATTGTCGTCATTAAAGATAGCGCCGTCATGAAGTCATAGCCATCGTCACCGTCACGACCATAACGACAGCAGCGCGCAAACACTAGCAAGAACAAACAACATCTAAATCCTAACGCCCTCACACCCAGAAGATGCCAGGCCTCTGAGATCAGCGATTCGGCCCCTTGGTTTCATGTCCCGGGCTTCTAAGTACAGGTCTCCATGCTGAAGGCCTCGAGGGTATTCGGCTAAAAATCAGAGGGTTCCCGGGTTATGCGTTCAGGTTGTAACGTGGCTTAAGAAACAGGGCGGTCGAACGTAAGCCCGACGGATTTCAAACATTCGGGCTTTGACGCTGCATTCGAAGCTCTCGAACTTGAACCTCGGGGTTTAGGGCGTCAAGAAGACGACAAGCGGTTTAGGGTTTAGGGTGGATTTCCAGTTTAAGGTTGGGGTGCCGTATCCTGACAAAGCCCGAATTGCCAAGGAACCGCCAATGCTACTCGATCCTTTGCCTTTCGAGGGGCTTCATAGAATTTGAACCACCGGGGTTTAGGATTTAAGGTTTCTCCACAGTAGCCTCAAGGGCGTTCTGCGGGCGTAGACGGCGAATCAAGCTTTGGGAATGTGCCGGGTGAACACCGAAACAAGGTCCCAGCAAGTTGTTGAAGAAGGTACATTAGAAGCTGCCCCCCCCTGTAATAGTGGTATAAAATAGTAGGCCCTAATATAATCCTTATAATCACTATTACAGGGTGGGGGCAGCTTCTAAAAGGTACATGACAGCAGAGCAAATGCAACTCTCCATAGCATTTGCGACATGTTGGTTCCTGGAGCGCCGATGACAAGCTCTTAAACTTAAACTTGTCTAGCTATTTCATTGTTGGGATAGGATTAAAAATCTGCATTTTTATTCCTTATTGGGTTCGAGTACCCAGAAAAATGTAAAATGTTACCCAACTGTGACAAAGACTAGTGTCTTCGTGAGGCATGCCTTCTTCTTGCTGTGATGTTGACGTGACGCGGCAATCTGGGCTTAGCGGCAGTTGGTTTCTCAGCATGCCTATATCTGCCGGGACGCGAGCTCAAGCCAACATAGATGATAGATACCAACGAACTGAACGTTGCGTCCAAATCCATCCTTGTGCCTAAACATTGGCACCTGCGTTGGGGGGGAGGGTGGGCACATGGCTCAGATGGGGACGTGAGAAGGCAGCGGCACGTGGGGAGAAGCGGGAGCACGAATATTTGAGCATGATGCACCATCTGCAGATTTCCACACCGCCACAAAAGACTCTGGCTGTGGCTACAAGACGGTCCACCTTTAACTGCGATGTTTAGGATGGACGCGATCGAACTCTCAATGACGGCTCCAGTCTCGTGGGGCCTTCGGTTGTGGGACTTGCATGCCTTAGGGTTTATTTGGGATTGAAGAAGGTGGAGGCCTTAGCTCGACCCTAAAGCGCGAAAGAAAATGAGACGGGCAAGGTTGGGTTGGGATTTCGGTGACGACTTCTGCGCTCAGCGGGGCTTATGTGTGGCTGCTGTGTTTGCCTATTTTCCGGGCAACGTGGCTCAAGAACGGGTAGAACTTGCATCGGGGAATTCTCACTACCCCATGCCAACACTAGCAACACAACTACAACAGAAGAGCCAATACACGTATTCCAGATTGCACTTATACATGCA